AGACATTGTTTCAAAACATCATGATAATGGGTAAACTATTGAAATAAAATAAATAGAGAAGGACCTCCATAAATCATAACTAAAAATAAATGGTGGTTGTCCACTACAGTATAAAAAGGTATAAAATAAAGTATCTTAATAGTAGGTATAAGATAGACTACATTTACTTAGAGTTACATACTATATTTTTATCTTTATTTTATATGGTAAATGGCAGGATACGCTACTGTATCCTACAATTTAAAAGTTATACCATTCAAACTTGGCACAAAAAGCCAAATAATAAGACCCTATATGTATCTCATGTAGGTACAACAATTGATTATTTCTAATTGTGGAAATGAAGCACATAGATACATAGGAAGAATTATCTCAAAATCTATTAGATCACGGCCATGTAATTGAATTGCCGCCAACTCGATATTCTGTTATGAAAATAGTCTTGGCTCACACACAACGGATAGGTCAGGACCATAGAAAATACAATAGAAAACTATGACTTACCCGAAACCGGGATACTATCGCTCCCATGGTGAGACCTTGCGGTTAAATCCTCTAGCACTTGAAACTGGCGCTCAAGATTCGATTATGAATCTAAAAATAAGTTTGGCATAAGTTGGAATACGATTTTGATGACGATATAACCTAGAGAGCCGTAGACGCCGACTCATAGATACGCTTCGTAAAACACATAGAAATACACGTCTGGCGCGTCCAGTGCACTTTCGTATGCGAACTTTTCTTGTATTTGTTATTTTTCAACAACGCGAGGTCGAATAAAGCGAATAAAAGGCCGTTGTTCGCACAAAAAACATCTTCATTCAACAATTCGAGACAAATGAAAGTGACAGTTTGGCGTTGTAGATGTCATCGTGACGTTTGATGTTTTCATAGTGATGCTCCGAAATAACGTTATTATCGGTAATATATAACGTTGATACTACATAGTATTGGTAACCCTATTACCTATATTAGTTTAAATATTACTTTCGTCCTAGAGCTGAGCAGAAAGGTGAAAAGTATTATACAGTCCAGAAAAAAAGAGTAGACAAAAAATGAGGGCGCCACTTTGTATGAAATTTCAAAATTAAATGGCAACATTGACTATGAATAGCAACGATTTAGTATGAAATTTTTTTATTTCCATTTTATGTAATTTCTACTCTTTTTTGCTGGACTGTAGTTGAATCTTTTTTTTTTTTTTTTGCGTTTGGACATAGGCGAGTGCAGATTCAGATCAAATCTTTAAAACAAATCATAACACTTTTTATTATTACTAGTTGAAGGGAAATATAATGTCAGTCAACTAAACACAAAAAGAAAATATTCATGAAAAATATAAAAATGTTTATTGTCATAAGTTATTTTATCACAAGTATTTATAACGTTACATTTCAGATTGTCACATCACTAGCTCAGTGATACCACACTCAAAACGGTGTTGCCAGAACAGAAGTTGAATTTACCAACTTGCGTAACAATCGGGGGACTCGAGATCCTGCCAGATTGGTTTGAACATATTGAAGCAAGGCAGCTTGCTAACGTCCTCAGATTCTTGGCCATGTTGCCGGCCGTCGGAGTCCACACAGCGGCATAGACCTCGGCGGCACTGAATCGTACGGAAATTGCCGTTTTTACAGCAAATGGGACGTTCTATCGAAGATTCCATAAGTAGCGAGGTTTCAGCGCACTCTGTAAAAGGTAGAAATGAAAAATTATTAATTAAAAGCGACCTTAGTTACCTACACAATTTCTCGCTTAATTTTTGCACAAAAAAAGTAACACGAGCGAAGCAAGCACGACATTTTATATTCGAAGCTTTTTACGTAATTTTTTGCGTAATAGCTATAAAACTTACTGCAATTCATATCCTCGTAAAGTTGAGTGTTTGGCGGAACTTCGTAATCTCCTATTTGTTTGCCGGACTGGTCTACACAAATTCTCCTGAAATATAATAACAAACGAAATGAATGCTAGTCAGTCAAAAATATGTGGGAAGGGTGTACACTGAACCAAATTCTATCGTACATACAACATAAGGACTATGTTGTACGATAGAATTTGGTTTAGGTCTAGGTACTCTACCAAGTTTTATGGTATGGTAGGCAGATACTTTTACCAGTCAGTAGCTTTTAAAAAACCAACACCCTGAGAGTGTCTGCCGTAGTTACTAAAAGTTAGACAACGAATAAAACATTGGGTTGGATGGACTCTCCAGATAGCGACTACATCAAAAAAAACTCTATGTATACTACGGTGACAGTTTACGAATCTTCTGACCACTAAGTATGTTAGTAGAAAACAGGATTCAAACTTACGACCCATTCCTGTTAGTAGCAATCCGTCCAAACGTGCCATCGGGCAGACAATCCGGGACGCTGCTGTAGAAATCCGTGATATATCCGTCCTCTTTACTCTGCAGCAGAAAGTCTATCCTCTCTTGCATTTGCTCGTAGCAGGGTGTAGTGTAGTTGTAGGGCGGTGACCCGATCCAGAGGTTCGGGAAGAGGTCTAGTTCTCTGTCATCTGTGGATTAGTTAAAACATTAACCAACGAGCGAAGCGAGCGGGAAATGACTAGGCGGTACTACCCGGTTCACAAAAGAAGGAGACCCGAAATGGCAACATTATTTTTTGCGCCTTTTTCATATTACATGACATTTGAGCAGGATGTCGGAAATATGTGTTGTTTTCCAAATAAAACACAAAACGATGTTTTGTTTTGCCTTTCATTTTGGAAAACAAGAGCAAGAGACACGACTTAATCTAGACACGAGCGAAGCGAGCATTAAATTTTATTAATTACCTAATAGAACAAAGCTGTAATAATTTAACTTACAACAAGGCAACCGAGTGATGTTTTTCTCGTCCAAGTTGACTGTGATGTTGCTGTTGATGATTCCAGTTATTGGATTCACGCAGTAGCAGTCTTTATTGATGCACTGAAAAAAGAGATTAGAAATACCTATTATAGACGTGTGGTTCAGGCTTAGAATAGCATTTACAGTGGGTGTCGTAAGAAGCGACTAAGGGATTTGAGAGTTCATTGTTCTGAATGACTCTCAAACTTTTCTCAGACGTGGTGTAACAGGTGTAGGTAGGTATATGGGCGCTTTACCTACAGCCGTTTGTAGTGGCGGACTAACCCCGTCGGATGCCCGGGGCGGTCAAACCGTCGGATGCCCCCCAGCGACAGAAAATGTCCTTTATGTAAAACCCTTTTTAAGAACTTCATTATTGGTATTTAGGTAGGTACAGTGGCGTATACAGCTTCGGATCGTGGGGGGGGGGGGGTTACAGCACTGCACCACTCAGGCAGAATATGAATTACGAGCAAAGGGAGTTTAACATTTCAACAACAACAAGAGAAAAACCACGCTTCGCCATTCGCCACACTATTACCATACGTAGTGCGAGCGAAGCGAGCTCGACTTTTCACGTTAAAAAAGCATGTGAGGAGACACACCGTACCTACCACCACCGCACCATCACTACACGTTATGCGAGCGAAGCGAGCTCGACATTTCGCGTTAAAAAGGCATGCGAAGAGACACACCGTGCTGTACTATCACTACACGTAATTGCGAGGAGACACACCGTGCTGCACCATCACTATGCACGTTATGCGAGCGAAGCGAGCTAGTTATTTCGCATGAAAACGTACACCGTGCTGTACTATCACTACTAGTTATGCGAGCGAAGCGAGCTCGACATTTTGCGTTAAAAAAGACATGCGAGGAGACACACCGTGCTGCACCATGACTACACGTTTTGTGAGCGAAGCGAGCTAGACCATCCGCGTTAAAAAGGCATGAGAGGAGACACACGGTGTTTGCTATCGAAGCGTGCTCGACATTGGGTGAGGGTTACGCACGTTGTTAGCGAAAGAAACTAGCTCGATATTTCGCGTTAAAAAGACAAGCAGCGAGGAGATACGCCGTGTCACTTGATCTAATAATGTTTTTAAATATTTTAAATAAGCCTGCCCTAGCAGCGGCTGCTATCAAGTACTGGGGGCATCAAAATGGCCTCCGAACTCCTTTGATCAAATCGTAAATAACTTTATTTACGATTCAAGTCCTGGGGGGCAACAAAATAGCCTCTGAACACCTTTTATCTAATCGAAAAAAACTTTATTAACAATTAAATTCCTGGGGGCAACAAAACAGCCTTCGAACTCTAAAAGTACTGGGGGGCATCAAAATAGCCTCCAAATTCCTTTGATCAAATCTTAAAAAACTTTATTCAAGTCCTGGGGGCAACAAAACAGCCTTCGAACTTTAACTCCTGTGATCAAATCGTAAACAACTTTAATTACGATTCGGTCCGTGGACCTCCGGAGGCCATTTTGATGCCCCCCCGGGACTTGCTGCCCGGGGCGGACCGCCCCCCCCGCCCCTACCTTAGTCCGCCACTGGCCGTTTGCGCTCTGCCTACCCGCAAGGGATATAGGCGTAATATGTGTGTGTTTATACCTGAACAGGATTGAAGTTTCCGTCGGAGGTGCATCTAGGCCCGATCACAGGGTAGGCGACTCCTGGACGGATGTTCTTCTGAATCTTCGCGTGGAGACGGGAGCAACCTGAGACAAAACCAATCAAGGTAGGTTTTTAGCCAACTTAGTTAAGAAAAGACAGAAAAAAATCAGACAGCAAAATATATTTTTGAAATACAAGTAAGCGGCCTTATTACTAAGCAACAACTTCTAGGTACGGTTATAAAATTCAACAACAACAACTTTCTTTGTGCTCAAAATCGAAGTTGCTTTACAAAATATTGATCAATATTATTACCTACTATTAAAGACTGTTCCCAGTTTGGCTGTATGGAAATCCCGATCCACCCCTACCTACATGCTGAGTTCGGTTGCAATCCAATGACCAAATCCGCAAGATAAGAGTTCAGTTGTTTGGTTGTAAAAACTACTACTAGATGTCGTTTTTTTAATCGTCGCTTCGTGACGAGCATCAAGAGGTTGATAAATTCATCAGGGTCCGGCAGGCGCCCGTGGCTCAGTTGGCAGAGCGGTGGGACGGTACCCCACGGCCACGGTCTCGGGTTCAAGTCCCGGCGGTCGCTAATGAATTTATCAATTTTCTCATTTTCAATTTATGAGAATGATATAGCACTGTGAGTCAAAATCCTAACACATAAGATGGAGTTTTCATACTAATGCGCCGCCTATGCTATTGACTCATCATCATCTTCCTGCTCTTATCCTAATTAATTGGGGTCGGCGCAACACGTTTCGTTGAACACAAAATCGTGTTGCAAAAGGATTTGGCTGTATTTTTCGACCGGCCGCCTACCAGACGTCAACCCTCCTTGGGAATGCTTTTGTGGTGGATTAACCTCCACCATACAGTAGGCCGGGTCGGGTTTATTTATCCCTCGGTCGCCTCTTACGACCCCCACGGGTAGAAACGGGGTAATGATATTCTACTCTGCCGCCGGCACCACACGTTGCCATTTCGGGTCCCTTTCTTCTATGAATCAGATTTACCTATGTTTTTTTGTACGCACGCGTGCTGCGTATTTTCTTTGCGGGGAATATAGAGCGGCAGAGTTTGAAACTCATTCTACTGATGTTTTGTAGGTTAAAATCTTACCACAATGCATGTTCTGCTCCGTAACCGCCCCGAGGTTCAGCACCTCGCCGAACGTTCTGTCCCCTTCCTCTGATTGACAGAAACAGCTGAAAATTACAATCATCATCTTTAAAAATGTTGGTGAAATCGGTAGAGAAATAAGGTACCTTTGGAGAAATCACCTGCTTGCCTGGTAGAGTGCGTTTCATCTATAGTTCCTATACCTATGGCGTCATGTTGGTAGCATTGGAAATTTGTATGTACTTAGGTAAATTATTAGGCGGCAATAATATTCTTAAATAGTTCCTATGGCGTCATGTTCGTAGCATTGGAAACGCACTCTATCCAACCTGAATAAAAAAGCAGTCAATCAGTCAATACATTGCAGATTTTGACTAATAAATTTTTAAGTAAATCTGAGTCCCTACAATGTACAACATAGTATTGTACACCATAATACTGGCCGCCAGAGTAATGTACGACGTGATGAAGCACGACATGGTGGATGGAATCAAAACAATGTCGCCATCCATCACCCCGTACCGAAAGTGCACGGGGGTGGATTGCACGACATGATGGTTGGCGACATCACATGTTGTGGTAGAATAGTGATGTGACTAGATCGATAATATTATATGCATTTCTAACTTATTCAATATTGTTTTTATATTAAATATATTCTTTGGTAAGCTTGGTCGCTCACTTCGTTCGCTCCAGGGGGTCACTGTTCTAACCTAACCTAACCTACTGTGTCGGATTTGCGTTAAATGTGTTTTTTTTACTGCGGGGGGCTGCGCCCCAAACCCCTTTGGGGCTTTGCCCCCCCCGTCCCCCCCTCCGTGGGTTGCCTTGCATGTCATGTTCGAATACTTAATCGATAAGTCGATGAAAGTCAACACTGTCACATCACTACATCTGCTGTGACGTCATTTGTTTTGATTCCATTTCCACCCCTGTACATTATCGGTCCGGGCCCGTATCTCAAGACCATCCATCCATCATGTCGTACAATGATCTGCTGTACAATACGCTGCCGTGCCTTAACCTGCTGTGCATTGAGTATGTTGTGCATTGTGGTTCCCCGTAAATCTCAGCAGAAACTGGCCAACACTCGTGAAAAAATGTGACAGGGATGCCTTTAAATAAATTAAAAACCAAATGATAATTTTATTCTTTTGCTATCAAATGGCTTTTCCTCAGTATTTTGGGATAAACCGCATTGAAAACTTTATGCTTCGCAACTTTTTTGTGATTGTTGATTTTTATTTGCAATGCACAATGCGCGGCGAATATTGTTCAGAGCACAATGTGCAACACGCAATGATTTCGTTTCACGCACGCACGCATGCAAAAATATATGGGTGGGCGTGTGTGTAAGGGACAGCTCTCCGAATAGGGTGCATTCGTACATTCAGAGTTCAGACAATGAAACTGAACAACTTTCACTTTACAAAAATATTTCAGGTGACGTAAAAAATAAAAATATTTCCTTGTGGAAGTGAGGGGGTTGAGTTTCATGGTCTAAATGCACCCTATCAATATTCGGAGAGCTATTCACTCTACAATATATCTACGTACCTATTTATAATTTTTTTATTCTACTTTTAAATTGTGAAATGACATGTAATACAGCATATTACCAAATAAATGAATATGAATAGTCACTTCTTCTTTTTATACGTCTGCCATCTGCGTTGCTGTGTGAAGCCAGCTTAGAATTTTACGTGTGATGCCGGCTGAGAATAGCATCACCACATATCTTTTTCGTGTGTGTCGTAAGAAGCGACTAAGGGATTTGAGAGTTGATATGTATTGCAATTTTAGGCGAGAGGCTGACAACCTGTCGCTATGGTGATACGTAGGTACACAGTCTTCTGAATGACTCTTAAACTTTTGTCAGACGTGGTTTAAGTTTAAATGGCCATTGACGCTCTGCCTTACCCGCAAGGGATATATGTGTTTTGACTGTCCCGATGGCGTAGTGGATAGTGCACCTGCCTTCTACGCCAAAGGGTGGTGGGTTTGATTCCCGCCGAACCCAAATATAGGGTGAAATTTTACTAGTGACCGATAGCAAAAACTCTGAACCGGCTGGTGATAAGGAACAACTTTTCCCGAAATACGAAAAAAAAATCCTTAAAAAGTTTTCTGTAAAATTTCCCTTACGTCGATAAAAAGTTCCTTATCACCAGCCGGTTCTGAGTTATCGCTGTCGGTCACTAGTAAAAATTCACCCTATATTTGTAAACTCAATTTTCAAATATCTGAGTGTAGTGTTTTCTATGTAGGTATGTAAAATATGTATTTATTTACAAAAATAATGTATTTATGTAATAAATCAGTTGTCTAGTACCCGTAGTACAAGCTTTGCTTAATTTGGGGCTAGATGGCGCTGTGTGTCTCGTCCAGAGATATTTTTATTTATATTTTTTATGTACGAAACTTACGTCTGCGTGGGCACGCATTCAAACACGCCGTACTTCCCCTTGCCGTCGCAGTTGGGTCTCTTCTCCAGTGCCCCAACCTGCCCCTTCTCGTGGCGGGCGTCGTACTCGTCCTGCGCCTTGTGGCACTCCGATTCCACTGTAATGGGATGACCAAGATCAACATCATCTTCCTGCCCTTAATCCAAATCAGTCGGGGTCGGCGCAACATGTTTTGTAAGGATACAAAATCATATTTAATATCCTTTATGCACGAAAAGTCTACTTTCCTAATATTTAGCACGTCTAAGTCGAGACTTAATAATTTAATAGACAAAATCCTGCCGTCAACCCCCTTTGGGAATGCTTGACGTCAACCCTCCTCTTTGGAAATGCTTCTACCCTCTTTGGAAATGCTAGTAAAAATAATATTTTAATTATAAATAGAACTTTAAAATATCCATCAGCTTACTCCTTTTGCAGTAGCTGTAGCCATCATCATCAGGCTGGCAGGTCAGTCCGTCAGCGCACCGTCCAACAGTGCTGCCTGTCCCTGGACCGCCAAGACTGCAGTCTTCGTCTTCACCTGGAAATGACACAAGGAAATGGCAGCACAAGTTTGCTCATCGCTAGAATAATGATGTATAGTAAGTAGTGCTTTTCTTTAAGGGTCGATTTTGCAGGACATCTTGAGCTACAACATGAAGCTCAATCAAAGTCGTTTACAAGCAAGCAAGTTCTCAACATATCCGCAAGATGGCACCACGCCACAGATACACCAAATACAATGGGCTCTGAAACGCGGTATCGAAGAGTTCACCGCGCACCGCATAAACAACTTCCAAATCTATCCAGGTGGACCAGTCAGTCCCCTGGCCTCAACACTCGGCTAGGCGGGTAGATACCCTTTTCCCGATACCACCTGGAATTTATTCTCCTTCTACCAACCTTCTACCTATTGGCATTACCTCCTATCATCCGTCATAAGGTAGGTAGGTACAGAACGAACATTTGGCGGTACAAGAGAGGATTCTTTATCATCTTATTACATAGGCTTGCAGCTAGTGTCATTTGTGGACTCTATGATCCCCTTACCGTAGAAGGGTAGGCAGAATTCGCAGCAGTTGCATTGCGTCGGACTGTGCATCCACATGCCGCTGTGAGTCGCGTTGTTGATTTCACACTCTTGCGCTGGTGTGGAGCAGCCCACTTCATTCGTATATGTCTAGGGATATGGAGAATAAAATTTTAATATGAGATCACGAGAGCTTTTAGGCATTTTCCGATATTTGGAAAAACATCACTAAAAATATTCAATAGATTTATTTTTATGGTGTGTAGGGTATGACTTAGACACGACGTTGATCAATACAAAGATGTAATGTAAAATGAATAATATTATTTGAAAGTAATACGATCTATTCCATGTAAGGTGATATTACTAATATAACTCAATATTATAATAATATTTTCTACTCATTTATTAAGGTATATTAAGTATAAGATTAATATAATAACCCAACGCTTTTCTTCAATAAATCATTATTATTTCCAACATTAACCAGAGTGGAGTGGTTAACTAGCCCTATACAAAGAGGATGTAAATAAAACTAGTGGTCCTGTACGGACTTAACAGGTGCATTGAAATCGTACTTCTAGGTTTAAAAGAGATTTTGAGAGAAATGTCCATCGTTGTCTGGTTCAGTCTGTCTGGGTGCGTTGGGAATGATCTGGTAGGTATGTCATTTTTGAGCTGGACGAGATCAAAGGGTCAAAGAATTGCATTTTTATCTATCATACATAGTATGTAAATCTATAATTATTTTACATTACTTTATTTTTTATTTCATCAAAATCCGTCCAGGTTCTCCAAAGATCCGCAACGCAACTGACGTCAAAAATTCACAATACTGGACGATGACTGGACGGTGAATAGAATTGCGAGAGGGAATCCCCTTGTTGGAAGTATTTTATTTTTTGGAAAATGGAAGGTACAATTATTTTTCAGTTTAACCATAAAATGGTAGGTAACTAATCTTCCTTCAATCGTGAAAGGAGCTTTACAGCT